CTAGTTGAGAGGCGTCCCTGCCCATGACAGGGAGGTTGGACTAGATGATCTCTGAGGTCCCTTCCAGCCTGGGCCAGTCTGGGATTCTATGATTAAAAACCATTAAGCAACGGCGGGCACGTGCTGAATCCTTGGTCAATTGTTTCAGCGGCTGTTCCCCGTGCACGTGCTCCATCTGAACCTCATCACATCTCTGCTGCCTTGAAGAGGCTTTCGATGCTGGGCTGTTCTTTCCCACAGAGATAATTACAGCTTACGACTCTGCTATTCTAATCTTTTTCCTGCATAAAAAAACCCAAACCCACGCAGATCGGGAGTTGTGCGCACCGGGCACGTAAATCCTGCTCCATTGCTAAGTGGAGCAAGTCCCTGGGTCCAAATCATTTGAAACGCCGGCCTTTGTTCTCCGGGCCTCCAACTGCTGAGAGGAGATAACAGCATTTCACCCTCTTGAAAGGGTGTTGTGCGGATTATGTACTTATTATCTCAGCAGCGTGGTGAAGAGAAGTGTTGAGTTCCAGAGGCAGGGAGGCTAAAAAAGTGCTCTGGCAGCAAGAGGGGCCCGTGGGGCAGCCTGGCCCTTGGGACTGGATGGGACAAGGAATGGATACCCTACATTTTACAGTTAGCTGTGCCGGCAGTGCCGCGTCGCAGAATTAAGACTTCTGTCCTTGAGCTCTTTTCTAAACAAGTACATATCTCTTGCTTGCTAATAATGAAAAGAGACCCTGAGCACCTCATGTTGGGAATTTCTCTGTGAGAATGGACAGATAAGATGCTTCTTGCACACAAGATGTGCACGGGAGTGAATGGGAGAGTGTGATCCAAACAGAGCCAGGAAAGTCTGTTCTCCCTGTGTGATAAGAGAGTGATTGAAGGAGCACATGGGCTAATAACAACCTTGGCTGCATAGTCTGGTCTCCTGTTTGTAACCCACAAATAGTGGTTCTTGTTAATGAGTATAAATATGTGTGCCTGCTTGCAATAAAGTGGATTCCGTTTTCCACCACCTCGGAGTCCACGCATGCTTCTCCACAAGGGAGGGCAACAAGGCTGCAGTCCTCACCTCGGTGCTCCCACAGCACCGTGCTCCCAGCAACACCACGAGCTGAGGCTCATCCCCCAGATCTGCCCAGGGGAAGCCAGCATCTAGGAGAGGACCAATGCGTTAACCATAATTTTGGTAAGGTTGGATCTAGGGGTGTCAGCGAACGGTGCGGGGGCTCACGAGCGAGGGAGGATCTGAGCGGCTCTGAGTCAGGAGGGAGGCAATCTGGCAGCGGCGGCCCCGTCAGAGCATCGTTGCGCTGCGAACGCGGGGCTGCAGATGGAGGGAGGTGTGAACTGATGGACACAGGAGGCCCAGAACAGTCACCCCAGCCATTGCCAGAGGCTTTGGCGAAAAGGACCAGAAACCGTGTTTTGCTTCAGATTCAAGAAAATCTGCCTGTATAACCTCGCACGTTGCTCAGCGTCCGCGCAGCACACAGCTCCGCGTCTGCCTGCTGCTCCTTTCACCTAAGCGCACGCCGCAGCACGGCAGCGCCCCGCATTTAGCAATGAGCTGAGGCTCAGACCCAGGCTGGCACGTGGCTTTTGGTCGCCTTTGTTCCTCTTTCCAGTTCTTCACAAGACAACGCACGGCCACTGTAACGCTGCTACCGGTACGTCGCTGACTTTGGCCCTGCTGCAATTAACCTGGGCACACGTGGTATTTCAGGATTAAGGGTGCCTAAGTACACTGCCAAGGTCTTAACACCTTGTGCAGATGAATGTTTAACTTCGGACCTCTTTTTTCTTACCTTTGGTGTGTGATGGGAGCGTTCATATCGCCTCTTAAGAAATGGTCACAAAAGCCTATTAGTATTAAGCAATTTAATGACCCTGTGTTATCTGCCTGTGCTGTGTTTGTACTCTGGGCTGGGTACAAGGCAGCCCACCTCACTTCTGAGGCCCTTTGCTCCCAACCTGGAATAAAATCTTGTGCAAAGGCACAAATGTGTGTACACGAGAACCACATTCTGCCTTCCTTGCAATCACTTGCACGTGTGGCCCTGTATTCAAACTCAAGCCCATTAGAAATACCCAGACATACAAGACAGGTACAAAGTGCTCACACCTGAGCAGGCTGGAGCACTTACTAACGGTAGCACTTACAGAAAATGTGTGTACAAACTAAAACTGCTCCTGCAGCAGCACACGATCCAGCTGTGCAGGGTATTTGTGCAAAGACATCCATCCCCGCACGCGCCGAGGGTGGCTCGCAAGCTCACCGGCTGGCTGCACACCCACAACCCTCCTCCTAACAAAGTTCCTGTTCATCTGAGGATGCTCCAACTGAGTGAAAGAGGAGCTTCCTCTACTGCCTCCACATCTCCTTCGCTCTCTAAGCCCCATCTCATCTTGCGGAAACTCTGCTGCTCTGAATTCTGCAAAAATCTCACTCATCCGAGAGCAAAACTCGTCCTTTCGTCGGAAACCAAGGGAAAACACCTGCAAATTCAGCCGGAGGAGCTCTGCTGCTCTACAGGGAGCAGAGCAGAGTTTCTTAGAATCATAGAATCATTAAGGTTGGAAAAAACCTCTAAGATCATCTAGTGCTACCGTCTACCCAACACTACCATGAGCACCAAACCACGTTCGAGGTGTCTCTACCTACTCCTCCAATACTACCCTGCAACTCTACCTACAAGAAGAAGTCAGAGAGATGATTCCTGCCCCAATAATTAATCTAAATGAGTGAATAAAAATCCCTACTGGACAGAAATGTTGCGAGGAGTAATTGTACATCTTTAAATGACTGTTCGGTGCTCTAGATTTTTATATGTTGAGAATTTTAACTATTTACAGTCCAAAATGGCCAACTCTACCTACAGTTCCAGATTGATATGTTGAGATTTTTAACTATTCGAAGTCCAAAATGGCCAGCTCTACCTACAGCTCCAGATCAATATGTTGTGATTTTTAACTATTTGAAGTCCAAAACGGCCAACTCTAACTACAGCTCCAGATCAATATGTTGAGATTTTTAATTATTTACAGTTCAAAAGGTCCAACTCTACCTACAGCTCCTGCAATACTACCCTAATACCTCCTCCGGGGCCAGTATTAGGGTTTTGCCAAGCAAAGGATGGGCTCCCCTCCCCGTGGTGATGCTCACCTTGTGACTGGAACGTGTAACCAGGGAAGTTGCACACGACCGCGGTGAAGATGACCATCCACATGAGAAGCCTCCAAGCTATTGCCATGGTTCGCGATGCTCGTCTCAGCGCAGGGGGTGTTGGGGCCGCCCCGTCCCAACATGTCTCTCCCTCAGCCACCGCTTATGTAGAGACAGGAGTCCTCGGTCCCTCTGCAGGCATCCTCGGCCGCTCCGTGCTCTCCACCAAGCAGCGAGGCCGAAGGTGTCTTCGCAGCCAGCGCCGCAGGGTCAGCATGGGCTAAAGCGAGGAACCTCAGGCTCTCGGTGGCATCGCCCCTGTGGAGGAGAGGGTGGGGGGTGAGCGAAGGGGAGAGACGGGCACAGGGGGAACGAAGGGTCGGAGGAGAAAGATAAGGAGGGAGAAGAAAAGGGGTGCGGGGTGAACGAGGATCTTAGAGAAGGGAAGAGTGTGATGGAAAGAAAGGGGGAAAAAAAAAACAAAAGGGAGAAAAGGACAGGAAGTGAATGCAAACGCAATTAACCACATCAGCTCACAGCACTGGGAAGCAACTTTATCCTGCTACAGGGACACTGCGCACCAGGGTGCTCTGCCAGGGGCAAACTGCTCCCAGCGCAGCTCTCGTACTGCTCTGACAGCAGCGCTGAAGGGCTGCTACATCCCTTGGACCTGAGGAAAAGAGCTCAGGATAAACGGGGGAACCCTTTGTCCTGTGGCAACGCCCACGAGCAAGCACAGACGGAAGAGTGACCCGGTCTCAGTTACCTGATCTCTTAAAGGAGAGCACGAAATAAAGGCATTAGCTGGGTGGTAGAGAGCAGCAACCTAGAAATCCTCTTTACTCCAGTTTCCCTGGCTTTAAAATACACTTTAATGACTGTCACTGCATGGAGAGAAGAGCATTTGGTCTCAGAGTGTATTGGCTAAACCTAAAAAAGCGACTGAAAACAAAGGACCCGTTCAGCGAACTCACCCTTATCCTCTGCTCTATCCACAAATGCATCATGAGATTCCAATTGCATTTGTTATTTAAAATGATTTGCTAATTGCTTCAGTGAAAGATTTTTGGCTTTGCAGATCATTTCCACTCAGTCTGAGGCAATTATACAAAACTCACGGAGCGCTGGAGAGTTGCATAAAGCCTGTGGGTTTTGCTTCTATCCAACGATGAGATGACGTATGCAATGAATGCGGCACATACCTAAGTCCTGCCCGGAGAATCCCAAACATCCGAACAGCAATACTCTGCTCGAGAGCAAGCCCACGGCAAAATGCAATGGCAAAATGCAAAGGCGACAGGTAAATACATACTAAAGCCTGACTTCAGACCTGTCATGTTGCTACAGCTTGCACCCTGGCAGCAGAAGGTGCTGGGGCAAGGCAGCGGAAGGCAGGACATATGGACGATGAGGTGCTCTGTGCAAAGGTGTCAACAGCCACAGCATGTGTGTGGGGGTCCTCATCCCAGCTAGGAAACACTTGCAATAATACCATTAACCCTCGCCTCGCTCTGCTTTCGTGTGTTTTCAAAGAGCAAAGACTAGCTACTGGCTACTTGACTACAGAGTCAATGCTAATTGCGCTGGGGGCGTTGGAATAACACCCATCAGGGGCCACAGGCTGCACAGGTGAGGCACAAGAAGAAACCAGAGCGGGGATTCCTGCCCCAATAATTCATCTAAATAAGTGGGTGACTTTCCTTAACTAGACAGAAATGTTGTGAAGCATTCACTGCGCAACTTTAAAAGACCGTTCGGCGCTCCAGATTTTTGTATGTTGAGATTTTTAACTATTTACAGCTCAAAATGGCCAAATGCAACCAGTGAGGCCTCAGGCTGGTCCCTCCAGCCACATCTGGTGCCAGGTGGGTTTCTGCAAAGGCTGGACACAACACCCATGATGATGGCCTTAAAGACTGTGCACACAATCTGCAGCCGCGAGAATAAACTACCTGACGGGGGAAAAACTGTTTAAATCTTGTCTCGGGCTGCTCCACTCATCTGTGACAGGTAAAGGGAAGAAGGCAGCGGAGGCAATAGAATCGGGCAGGAATTCTGCCCTCTTCCACCACGATACGAGGATGCCGACATCAGCACTGTGCGTCCCCCGGGTAACACCATCCTCTGCCGTGTCACCCCCTCGACTGGGAAGCAGAGAGGGGCAGAGCCATGGTCCAGCGCCACGGATGTCACGAGCTGCTCCGTGCCTGTTCCCCCCTGCGGGGCTGCGGGAAGTGAACTGGAAAAGGGAGACGACGAAAGGAAAGCCAGGCATGCTGCAGCCCTCTCCTAAGTCAGCATTTTTCAGCATCTATTAAAGCTCGAGATTCCAGCTTTTAAATCCTGTCACGGCTCCAAGATCTGTGGACAGAAAGCCGCTCAGCTGAAGTATATTTTCTCCCGGGCTTCGCATTGCTAAATTTTCTTGTTTTCCAGCTGCTGAA